GACAGACTACCTCTGCATTCCTTGAGGGTTCTTGTTACTTCATTCCTCAAAACCATACAGAACTCCTACTGTGTGCAGCTCTATGCCAGCCCTGCAGTTGCTGCAGCGAGCATGGAAGCCTCACTCTGATAGGTGGGGAAGCCAAATGGGGAAAACCATTCACGAGTAAATGCATAGTTAGCAATTTTTTAAAGTGCTTTAAAGGGAAAATCAAAGGTGTGCTGGGAAATGCAGATGAGGGGACCTGACTTATATTCCTAATAATATAAATGGAATAAATAGAATAAATAAGTGGACATTGGTCTGAGTTAGCGTGGCATTTAACCAAGGAGCGGAAGGCTGACGGGGATCAGAGAAGGTAGGCTGGCCTGGTTGGGGGCAGGGGATCAGAGAAATGGTTGTGCCAGCTGAGGGACAGGTGAGAACAAGGTGAGACCTGGGTCCCATGGCCACACCTACCTGCAGGGAGGCTGGGAAATGGGGTCTGTAGCCCAGCTCCCTGGCTTCCCAGCCTCGGCTCTGTCTCCATAGAAGAAGGGGATAAAGTGTTCATTCAGGTGGATGGAGCTTGTGATATTTGCCAGACTGGAAGAAGGTCCCTTTGGACAGCCAAGAGCCCGAGGGAGAGCTGCACTTGATAAAGTGAGAGAGGAGGCGGGGCCGGAGAGCCGGGCTGGGGAGTTTGTATGTTTTCTCAATTGGACGGGAAGGTGTGGGTAGTCCCTGTGCTGGTCATCAGAAGACTGGATTGGCAGGGACAAGAAGCCAGTTACGAGGTTATAGGATGACTCTCATGAGCTTATGGAGAAGTATTTTGAGTGGCAATCAGGAATTTTGGAACATCTCTCTTTTTAAAGAGCACAGGGTCCTGTTAATGCTACAACTTCACATTGATGGCATTTTTCTGTACTTCCATATAAAAAGACACCGAAGTCAATCACTTCCTTATTATTCTGGTTTGGAAAAGACAGTTATTGCTTGTATAGGCATTACGTTCAGACTTGAGCCCTTTCCTAGCTCTGTTGACCATGCCAGCTGGGGACAGAGGGTGACCACTCACAATCCTGTCCTTCCTGCTGAGACGTGCGCATCAGTGCTCCAGGGAAGCAGGGAACAAATCGTCATGGGAAGGAGGCTTCCTAACCAGAGTCTCTGGCTGTCCTCCTCCTCCTCCTCCTCCTCCTCTTTTGCAGATGTTACTCAACATTTGCTGCGAGTCTCAGGGTCTGGAGGGACTTCTCTCAGGAAGCGAGCTCCAGTCTCTACTGATTGCCACGACCTGTCTTCGGGAGCACAGCTGCGGCTTCTGGAAAGAGCCCACCTTCTGTGTGCTGAGGGCCATCTCCAAGGCCCAGAACCTCGACGTCATCCAGTACCTGCAGGGTATGTCCCAGGAGACCAGGTGTGGGGAGTGGGCCACCCAAGGGCTTCCCTTGAACTCTTGGAGTGAAGGCTGAGGGCCTATTTCCTACAACAAGACCCTGGGATGCTCTTGCAGCAAGATTTCTGGGACCAAAGAAGAGATGAATGACCGGCTTTGCCCAGTAGATGATCCTGCATTGCTTGTCTCTGTTTATGAAAATGCTTTTATTGTTCATTCTTATGTTCCACTGGAGGTGGGAGGCAAGAGGGATTCATTTACTGTGCACGTACCAGCAAAAAGACACTGTGCTGGGCCCGTTTGTCCATGATCACATTTGTTTCTTTGAGATAGATATTAATGGCAGTTTGCAGTGGAGAAAATGGAAATTAAGAGTGGTAGAAGAATTTGCCGAGGCTACCCAGCTAGTGAAGAAGAGAATCAGTTTTCAAATCTGGAGATGCCTGATTCCAGCACCTTAGTTTCTGCTCTGAGAAGCACGTGTAGGGGTTAAGGCCACAGACTCTGAACCAGCCAGCCAGCTGTGGACTCTAGCTCTGCACCTGGAGCTGGGGGACCTCAGCACTTAACCACCTGGGTTCCTCGGTCCTCTCATCTGTAAAATGGGGGCAGTAATTCCGCTGATCTTATTGGGTTGCTGCGATTCTTCAATGAGCGGTCATATTTAAAGTGTTTAGACAGCACCTGGCGTTTAGGGATGCCCCATAGGTGTCAGCGTCTTGTCTTCATTACCTGAGTTATATCAAAGGCAAGATGCTGAAGGAGCAATTCCATTAGCAGTGCCGGGGTCTCTCTTAGCATCCTTAGCCCCACAAGGACCCAGATAATGCTGGGAAGCATGGAGACCACCCCAGCTCACAAAATCTCAGGACAAGGTTGCGGCTTTACCTCAGCCGCTGGCCCAGCATGGGGCACAGAGGGAACTCCGCAAGGCCAGCGCCGAGGACACTCTGCGGAGGGCTCAGTCCAGCTCAGCTCCCCCTCACTGTGTAACCGGTTCTCAGCTTTGCCAGCTGAGCACAGCAGTCATCTCAGGAGCATAGCAGTCCCTCCCTTATGCTAACCCCAAGGTATAGGATCTTTCAAGGAGAGGTAGGGTCTGAACCTGCCACTAGGATCTGCTGGTCCTCAAACACCTGTCCTGCCTGCCATCTGTCTTCTTTTTGAGGCCTCCTGTAATGGAGGCATCCACTGGCAAGAGCTGGGGAAGCCTGGCCAGCTCGTCCTCTTACTGTGACTGATCCCCAGGACAAAATGCTGGCCCTGGTTTGGGCAAGGTCAGGGCCTGGCGTCAACCCCAGGGCTGAGCTGTGCCTGCGCCGCAATAGCCAGGCCCCAGTCCTCCCCGCCAGGCTGGCGTCCTGGGGCTGAGGAAGGGCTGCATGCATCGGTCCTGGTGGTCTCTCGCTGTGTCTCTGCTGCCCAAGACAGCTACTTGAAAAGACAAGTTCTACCTACGTGTGGAACCTTCCACCCGGAGCACTATGCCCAGGACCTCCTTATGGGAATGGGTGGTTTCCATGGGCTTATGGGGTGAGGAAAGGATCGGGAGGTAAGAACTGGCCGGGCAGTACCTTGGGGGGTGTCCCGTGGGTGCACAGACTCCAGGGCGCTTGAGTCCTTGTGGCTGGGAGGCCGAGCTTGTGTTTTTGCAGTTCTCGCAGGTGCTTCTCCACACCCACTGTAGTGACTTTCCTGCACTCAGAAGAGGCTTCTCCCAATGAGAGACCCCTAAAAACAGTGATCCACCCAAATGCAAATGTGATGGCCTATCTCTTCTGACCAAACCTTCCCCTGGCTTCCCACCGCTCTGG